CTCTAGAAGGATTGCCAGATTCCACAAAATCTTCTGCCGTGGTCACGTGATAGGGTGTCAGAACTACGTCATCACTTTTAACGCAATATGGCCGTCAAATTGGAAAATTATTTCTATTTATTGTATCTATGAAATATCTCAAATAATGAAATTGAGGGACATGAGCTAGAATAATCAACTCTGGGCGTAATTGGAAGGTTTTCGTTGAATGGTCTTTAATAAGGCTCACAGGTAAGTGATTCAAATAATTATTATGTAATGTAATATTTGTTGCACGTATTACGAAAATGCATTTATTCATTGAAGTTTTTGGTTGTTTCAGATACTCTCAATAATAATGGGAAACCGAATAATATAACATGGAAAAATATGATTCATTTCATCAACTGATGATATCAGTAGACTTGGGATCATTGAGAATGCTAAGCAGGTATGTTAAACAAATATTTCTCTTCATAGTATAATTTTATCTTTGCTCTTATGTTTCAGTGAACTAGAAATAAATCTTCGAAAGAGGAAGATGTATTGAAAGCTGATGGTTATATTATATGTAGAGTAGATGAAGCAATAGCAAACACATAATAGGTAGGTGTATAAAACTTATGTTTGCAAACATTAGCTCTTGGACAGCCTACACTTTCGAAAGCGTAAAGGTACTTGGCAAGCAGGAAAGTCTCAGGGTTTTTCAAACATATCTTCCCTATAAACAGGTTAGTGATATTTTTGTTCTGAAATCTCAGAATTGAAGAATACATGTGAGCTGTACAGATCTGGAGTAGAAAATAGAAAGGAAAAAAGAGGGTTCAGAGATAATGTCTAATATTCTGAGTGGATACATTTAAATCTCCTTTAGGTAATTGAAACCATGTTGCATGGTTATATTTGAGTATCTTATGGAAAATATGCATTAAAAGTTGCGATTGATGAATATCCACAGTGATTGGCAATATGGAGATAAGGAGATAAATTTAAATAACTGGTAATTGAAATTTTTGACATAATTATCATCTGAATCACTTTGAATCATTTAGGGCTTACTTTCACATGATAGGAAGAATACTCAGAAAATAAACTATTCTTTCCAGAAAAGCTTGAATCATGCAATCAAGAAAGCTACAACTTTCCCTACCTGTGAGTTGAATATGATTGTAGTACATAATCTAGAGAAAACTTTGAGGATTCCTACTTTCCTTTGGAAGTTAATCAATTTTTCTCACAATATTCCTCCAGATGGAGTTATTTTTGACGATGAAATGATTGTGAAAAAATCAAAATTCAGCTCAATTATTTTAAATTAATTGAATTTCCAGGTAAAATGAATGGTTCAGAAAAATTTGTGGAACTGTGTAATTAATCAATACATGAATAGTGATACAAAAGGAAAAACATACACATTTTATGGAGGAGGACCTTAGTAAAAATGGATGGCACCCAATTTTTTCAGTGTATTATTTTCCTTAGAGTTGTATAGCTAGTAGTACAATAGTAGAATTCAAAGAAATATATATTGGATGATGATTTCTGAAGAATGTTTCAAGAATATGTTACATTATCATTCCACTAATTGTAATGAGTATTGTGATTAAATTTGAGAATTATAAATTTGATCTTCTGAAAAAACTCCAATTTCCTCATTGGTCTATAGGGAAATGAAAACAAGACTTGAAATCAATTCATTTTATTCAGTGGGAACAGTAATAGTCGTGAAAATAATTGAAAAGGTAACAACTTCTGTAAGTATTTCAAAGTATCTGTTTTTGTTTTTTTTCTGATCCAAATAATATTCCCAATATATATCATGAGGAAAACCCACAAAAACTGATGACCCCCCTAAGTTATGAGAAATGAGATCTCACATGGTTCAGTAACAAATCAAATAGAAACAATTGCAAATTCAGTTGGAGGTATAGTTGATTTTGTAGAAAACATTTCAAAGAATTTGATTATACCAATATAATTATTCCACAGATTCTTCCAATACAATCCAATTTGAAAACCGATAAGCTCTATGGCTGATCTAAAACAAAGTTATAATGTTATGATGAAATAGGGCCAACTTTCCTATCAACAATTTTCGTGAGTGGGTATGAACATTGTAGAATACATTTCAAGCAATTTGATCATAAAAATGATTTTTTGCCAGATTTTGTTCAATAGCTGCATTGCTAATCTGAATCTGAGTAATGTTTTGACTTGTGAAAAATAAAAATACTACAGGCAGTATATGAAAATACTAATTTTTCATATAGAGTTCTTTTCCTTTTTACAAATTTTCAACTACTGACTCAAGTCAAGAGCTTTATTGAAGATGTATCTTTCTATTTGAATCTTCTGGCATTGTCTATAACCTAGATAGTATAGAGTTGATGAAATTTTGTTCACATTTGTTGATGATTGGACTTAAATGGACTTGTATTTGTTCTTGGTCAGTATTATTTCAGACTACTTCTCTGCCCTGCATCATAGTTTTCTTGAATTTCTGCCAGTTCAAGTGTGGGAATGGCAGTTCTTTTCAAAATCCTCTTCAAGGGTAAACCTGTAACAAAATGCATGATAGATACAACAAACTGTTATCTGTAAGTCGAGCATATAGTTTTGTGAGAAATGCTATCTTCACCTGATAATTCATTCTTCAAGTCTCTTTCATAACTTCTATTGTGAAATTACAAGAACACATTCTACTTGAATCTGGATTGAATGTTGTTATACTCCCACATCTGGTTATCCATTCTTGTCGAATGGTAATAGAACCAGGAATGCTATGAAGAATAATACCAGCACCTGCAGTTTTGGAATAGGCCATAAACAGCACAGCGCATTCCAGGCATTTTATTGGTTAATCTGTGAGAAATATACAACTATAGGTATGTGTATTCATGTACAAGGATCACAATCAATACTCACAATGAAGTTGTTCTTCGCAAAGTACTTCACAGGCTGTAAGAAGTCTCTGTATGCACTCAAATTCACAATGATTAGGAGGCTTGGAAAGTCTCATTCCTCTTTCTACAATCTGTGATTCAATGGTTGATAGCTGATGAGTGATCACTCATAAATGAAAAACCTAAACAATTTTTCACGAATCACTCAAATCACACAAAGAAACCTCGGAAAGCTTCGAAAGATTCAAAATTAGCGCGCGTTTGCTAATATTTCAGCCATGTTTGTTTATGTTTTGTGTATTATTTCGACCAATAAAATCACGGCATGATCACAGAAAACATAAAAGATGCGAAAGGCATCAGCATGACGTCACATTTCAGGGAATGGATTGGAATATAGGGATCTAGCACTCCTTCTCTGTATACTCTCCTTGGCTATTAGGCTGATGGAAGTTCTTTCAATCTTGAGAATGGAGATGATACTCACGGCGTCACAGAACGATGAAAGAGAGTAAATAACTTTGTGTTCGACACTAAACGGAACGCACTGTGGGATTATTACAAATGTAACGACACATTCAATTTTTTGTTACACAGTTACTGATGATGGAATTAAATACATCCTTGTCTGCATGGTCTACTTCACCAAGTGGGTAGAATCGTATGCGATCCCTAATCAGGAGGTCGTAACTGTCGCCGATGTCCTGATGAATCAACTCATCAGTCGTTTTGGGGTGCCATTGGAACTCCACTCTGATCAGGGCCGGAACTTCGAGAGTGAAGTCTACATACAGTATATGACACTGTATAATATATCACTATGGTATCAGACTGATGATAAAAACTGAAGTGTAGTTGAAATATAAGTATTAATTGAATATAGTTATTTGAATTATCCCGACTATAATTCATTACAAAATGGCGCAGTCGGCAGCTGAACTGGGGGTTTCAAGCAACCAATCTATGCAAATCAACTATGATACAGCAAGAGGTGGAAGCGGAAATGGTCAGAAAAAGATATCGTTCGGAAAATCAAAATTAGACGAGCTGATGTCGAAATGGATGTCACTTGCTCATTTCAAGACATACATAAAAATTTTGGAATTTTCTGGTGGAGATCAAGATCCTTATTCATCGATCAATTCGTTTGAAATTGCATGTTTGTCAAATAACTGAATCACTGACTCTGAGAGAATACTTCATTTGAGAACCAATCTCAATGCAGGTGCTCCCGTACAATCGAATAACTCTAATTTCGCAACTTTTCTCTAGAGCATTATGAAATTTTTGAAAAACATTTGGCTTATCTAACTAGGAATCCGAGATTTGGACAGATGGAATGTTGTTATTTCATTCCGGTTATGGTTATAAATACATACATGTAGTGTTGATATAAACTGTGTTCTCTATCAATTTGGACATATTACAAAATCACTGCACAGTTCTCGAGAGTAGAACTCAGTAACTCGATATACTGATAATGTCATTCAACTTTGCAGTTCAGAAACATAGTAAGTAGATTTAATGGATAGAGAAATGATACGAAATGTTAGTATGTCGTCTCATAGGGGGATTATTTGGAAGATTTGAAAAGCTGTAACCCAAAAATAATATGATCTGATATAAAAAAATATATGCGAGGCAGTCTTTGGGGACTTCCGATAGAAGTGAGAGGTGAGTAACTTGTGAATTGTATCGTCGAACTATTAGATTATATTATTATTTCCGGCAATTTTTGATTCATAAAAAAGTGTTTTATAATTTATTTCAAAATTCATATTGAAATCGAATGCAATATATATACTGTGGAAAAGTTTAGTATTGAACTAGAAAGAGAGGGTTTCCAGTAGCCAATACATTACTCGTATTGGTATATGTGTGCCCAGCCATCCCAACTAAGCCAGTATGAATATCATTCATGTTGAATGTCACCTCAGTATTGTGTAATGAAACATCTAGGAAAATGAAAAATGATGTTTATTCTCGGATCAAACTAACAAGAACTCATTATACCAGTTATGTAATCTCAACTAAACCTAAGGTGAAGTGAAACAAATAATTCAAAATATTGAAACTCTTGCAAATCAGGAGTAATTGTTCGATGTGTTTACCCAAGTCCTATAGGTCATCAAAACTTGGTAAATTCATCCAAAATATCCGCTTCCTGGGAGTCATGTGCGGTAATAGATCTCTCACAATGATATCCTCCTTTTTGGTATTAATTCCTCTGTCAGACCTCACCGTTTCTGGTAACTCCAATATGAATTTCGGTTTCAGGATCGATGCTTCTGAGAATTCATCATCTTCCAATTCTTGTTTGAAAAACATTTTTCTTGATCCTTTTCTGAATTGCACACATTTTCTATCCTTCAGCTTTGGTATTGAGGAACTTTTGTTCCGTTGAGTGCACCCACTGGTAAATAATTTGAAGTTTCGAGCGCGTAAACTTATTATCGTATTCAATTTATTCGAGGATTTTGTAAACCTCTTCAAATCTCCATAGTCCAAGACTTCTGAAGTCCTTTTCCATTTCTTTCCGATTTGGCCATGTATTGAATCTGGTTTCATGAAGCTATGTCCAGGTTGGAAGTATTCAAATGTGATGCTTTCAGGACTCCAGTCCTCATTAACAAGAATTATACAAGCAGTAAATAGAACCCAATTCTTATTCTGGGCCGTGCAATTATCTGTACAGAATGTAACGTGTTTCGTTTCATCGTCTTGTCTGATAAATGCGTTGTAATGTGCAGAAACAACATCTGGGCCATTTCTTCCTCTTAAAGCTTTGTGCCATAAGACACATTTATTTCGGCCACCCACTTTCAAGTTTGCAAATGTTTCGTGAAACACAACAAGTCTGCTAACGAAAATAGTTATTTTTGTATCTAGAGCGCGAAATGCTACTTTGGTGATCGAGATCTGATTTTTTTAACGAGGCGTAGCCGAGTTAAAAAAATAGTCGAGATGACCAAAGTATTTCGCACTCGAGTTGCAAACAAAATTTTTTCTACAAACGTCAAAAATATAGTTCTAAAATAAAAATATGCTTAGCTTGATATAAAAAATAGTGTTGAACTTGCTTGAAAGGCCTCCCCCTATCCTCCCTAGGTACGCACGATGTTCGACGAACATAATAGGCATTTCCTTTCGTGCGCTCCAAGAGATAAAACAAAGTTATTGTTGATTATTCAGAAATAAATGATTTGGTGGATGTTTGCTCGATTGAGGATCATGAAGTTGAAATATAAATATCTCATATATTTTACATAACAATGCGCGAAATAGGTACTTCGCGCACTGTTTTACTTCGCGCATTGTTATGTGCAAGATATCATGGTAACGTAGGAAACTGAAAAAAGTGTCACTTCGCAATTTGTTATCAATGCGCGAACCTTGTCATTTTTTGACGTTTGTAGAAAAAAGTATTTTTTTCTACAAACGTCAAAAAATGGCAAGGTTCGCGCATTGATAACAAATTGCGAAGTGACACTTTCTTTTAGTTGCCTACGTTACCATGATACCTTGTACAAAACAATGCGCGAAGTAAAACAATGCGCGAAGTACCTAGTTCGCGCATTGTTATGTTAAATATATGAGATATTTATATTTCAACATTAAGGTCCTCAATCGACCAAACATCCTCGAAATCATTTATTTCTGAATGTTCAACAATAACTTTATATTTCTTGGAGCGCACGAAGAGAAATTCCTATTATGTTCGTGGAACATCGTGCGTACCTAGGGAGGATAGGGATAGGCCTTTTAGGCCAATTGAACACTATTTTTCATATCAAGCTAAGCATATTTTCACTTCAGAACTATATGTTTTGACGTTTGTAGAAAAAATGTTGTTTGCAACTCGAGCGCGAAATACTTTGGTCATCTCGACTATTTTTTCAACTCGGCTACGCCTCGTTAAAAAAATCAGATCTCGATCACCAAAGTAGCATTTTGCGCTCTAGATACAAAAATAACTATTTATCGTCATTTTGTTTGAAAACAAAACATACACTGCAGTCGTCTTGAGATAGTGATGAGAATCCAATGTTTTCTCTGTCAAATATCTTCCGACAAGTTCCATAGCTCAAGTTTTCATATTTGGAAATGAAATCTCTATACATTTGGTGTATGGTGATAACACAAGGTAAATGACACCTATTGGGAGCATGCTCTGTTTCATAGTATGATACTTGCGGGTGAAACGATTCAATGTGTTTTTTAACAGTGTTGTAATTTTGTTCGACAATTTCTTTCATTTTCAATGCCTTCACCTTACCTCTTCGATCTTACAGGCAAGGACGGTCATTGGAAGTACGTTTGAGAAAGTTGGTGATCAAGCCATCTGAATTAAAACCAATAGTATGGATGAACATGGGTTTGCAAACAGAAAACATATTATGTTCATGTTCATTTACTTTAATATCCGTGTGTTTTTTATTCAGTTTGGCAGAAACTCCATTTGTTTTATCCAATAACTCATTTCGCTCAGTTAGGATCTCATCTGGCTCAGAGGTAAAGAGGAATGCAATATTATTACCCACGAAATGTTGTTGGTCTTCTTAGGTTGTTACTGAAGACGATTTCCTGATAACTGGTAGATTGTGAATAATTGAATAATTCTTATTCCTTTCATCATCAACTTTTCGATATTTCACAGGCTCCTCAATTATATATTTATAAAGGAAAAATTGCCTCTGATCAAAGTCGAGCCTCCTGAAGTAATCAAAAATTGTATTTCGTTGTTCTGAACTCAGTCTTTCGGAACATTTTTGCCTACAATTGTCTTGACATGGAGGCAAAAGTTTGAGTTTTTCAGTTGGCGCTGATTTATCTGAACTCCGTTTCTTCAGATTTTTTCCTAAGGAGTTTCTAGATACCTGTTCAGGTGCTGTGACCTGAGGAGTATCATCAATCTCGTCTGAATTGAGTATGTGATGCTCGATTGGACTTTGTGATATATCTAGGTGAAAATATTGATCATCATTTCGAGTTTTTTTGATTGTCTCCGTAAATATACCCATCATTCCATCCGTATTCGATTCGTTCTGAACCGGCTTCGGCACATACGAGTTAATATTCCTAATTGAAGGTTGAACAAAAATATGATTATTGTCAATTGCTTGTTCACACAAATAATCGTGGACGTTATCATACGTCTGTTTGGAATGCCTTCATTGATAACTTTCGACGACTTTTATTCATATATACACATACTCCATAATATGAAATGACAAACTCTCAAGCATGAGTTGCCATTTAAATTTTTTTCTAAATCATGCATATTATAAATGATTTCATCTGAATGGGTAGGTTCTTGAACATTTCTCCTTCTACTCCACTTCTGATGACGAATAATCAATGAATATATCCATCGAAAAAATACTTCTAGAAGCAATAGTTCAATAAAAAGTGGGATGTTGATCTATCATCATCTATTCATGAACGAAATATCTCGAATACATTATGCTTATAGCAGTGAAAGTTGAAAACATAGTTCGATAAAAAGAATTCGAATTATTCAAGCTCATGAAACTTCGTCATCACTACTACTGAATTAATCAACTATCTACTGGTATACATACTTTTGCAAAGCCATATTCAAAGCATGTCTACCACGACTAATCGTCTTCACTTTTTCCGTGTCCATAATACGAAAAGATGGGTAGTATAGTGCTCAAGCCTGCTAGCTCCTTGCTGCAGATTACGAAATTTAAGAGGAGGATACACCATGCATCAGTGCAAAGAAAACATGTTTTCTCCGCCCCCACTTTTCATTGTTTAATATTGATTTTCTCGGAAAACAAAAAATATGGTGAGATGAAGAATTGAAATATCTAGGTTTCTCTGGAAGCAGAATTTTGAAAAAATTCACCGATATTCTGCAAAAAAATCATGAACATTTCATTTTTCGAGTATATTCAGAATTTTTTTTTGAAAAAACTAAGACAAAAACTGAAAATCCGCTTCCAGAGAAACATCCGTTCATCCTTTGTGAAGAGCCCAGTATTTTTTGTTTCAAGAAAAAAAAAATTTTAGAGGGGGAAAAGTGGGGGCGCGCGATCCCATGTTTTCCAACATTTCGACACCGATTCCTAGCGTCCTCACCGGAGAATGCTGAAAACTGTGTTTCATTATTGGAATACAGGCTTATTTTGCGTTTTTGGGATTTTATCAGTGTGATTCAAAAAGTAGGACACATTTACGTTTGTACTTCAGCTATCTATATCATTTTTCATCATTTCTGTTTCTTCATCCTATTCCTTGGGAACTTTTATACTGTCCACAATATCCATACATTATTTTATATTATCGAATGGGGATTATAAGGTAATTTTAGCATTCCAGTAAGGAAGTATAGCACGATGTCCGTGAATCCTCCTCTCCGAAATGATAAATAAAAACATCAGATGATGTCATAGGTGCGAGGTGAAACGTTTGTCGGCAAAAGGGAGAGCCGCATTTCGGTTGACGTTGACGATATGGAGACTTCTTTTGAAGCGGAAAATTCCACATAAGTAGAGACTCTCAAGGGCAGAGAAAATATTTTGTATTATATAAAAAATATCGCCTATAATAGGAGCGATAGACTGTGGGTAGACTTCGCGAGTGTTTCTAGTGATTACTTCGAAGTTCAGGTTTTTATGATTCATGGGGAGACTCAGAAAGCCAAATGGTGAACAGCAGATCGGGGTAAAGACGAATTGATATATGTATATATATAATTATATACAGCATGTCTCACTTCAAACGCCCCTCCTCCTCTATATCTCAGGTATTATTGCTATCAATCGTGCGATTCTTTTCAAATTTGGAATAGTATGAATTATCATTGATATGATCAGTTTTTAGGAAAAGAAACATCATTATGGACAGTGCCGTGCGTTTTTATTGAAATTGAAATGGGTTTTATAAATCAGGATTTTTTGTAGGAACTATAACTTTACAGTATGTTACTCATGTTTTCGAACCTCCATGTGCAAAAATTCAATAATTTCAAAATACTATAGAATGGGTCAAATCTCTCTCTTCATTATCAGCCCCGAATAAATAATGAATTCTTATTAACCGCTAATTCTGGAACGTTCAATAGCACCAGTAGGTAGAAAATTATGGTTTACATAAGAAAAAAAGGCACAATTTTTTTGTTGAACTCATCTCTGCCGAATGAATAATTTTTCAACTCCCATTTCATAAGAAGCGAATTAATTATCTCGGATTTATATCATGATACAGATCTAAACCAATGAAGACACGTTCTTTTCTACATGATAACAAATTTTTGGCCCATAAAAACACGTAGTAGGTACTTGGGTATAATCAAGTGGGTCTATATGTTTCTATCTCACTTGCTTGAGTTGTTTGACATTTATTTCCAAATGAAAGTCATAATGACAACGCAAATTCGTCAAAAGATGATGCAATTCATGTATACTTATGATGTTGGAGAGTGCTGAAATATAAATAGTGAGAAATTAATTGATTTTTGGAGCGATAATTTCTATAGGCCAGTTAGGCACTCTCTGGGATGAGAGTAAATCGGCAGATTCGCGTCATGGAAGCACGCGTACCAGTGTAGGTATATCTATATTTATGTTAAAACTCCACAAACGATAAGATTTGCACAAAATTCTCAAACACACGACATGTTTCGCTAATACAGTAGCTTCGTCAGGTGGTATACTGGTACGGCCGGGTCAATTCAAAATATCTATTTTATGTTGATATGCGATGGCGGTTATACAGGGTGTCCGGGAACATGTGGGAAATCTCCCGGATATGAAGAAAACACGTGAAAAGAATACTATAAGTTCATATAAACTTCTTTTGTATCTGTAAATTCGACAAATATACCTACCCGGTATAGTTGTGTTTCGGGTCTAATGGAAGGTTGAGATAGAAATATGGAATATCTGGGCAAAAACTATATTTATGGCAAAGTATCTGAATGACAGAAGTATTCAAAATTATTGACTCTCATAAATTGCAAATCTTTTTACAATCTTCTGTCCGTCGTCATGGTTTTCACAATATACTAATGATTTCTCAGGATTTCCAACATTCTCCCACCTTGAGGAACGCTGGAACGTGACTCAATAAAAACCATAGGGGTATCTACATCTTCAATCTGTCAGGGGGTTTAACAACTCTTCCTGATCTTGTCTTCATCAATAGGTTTTCATCTTCATCTTCACGTCTAGTAGGTTTAGTCATCGAGGATTCTTGTGATTCTTTCTCATCAGGTACTTTCTGGATGTTTTCATTCGTCCCTAGCGATTTCTTCATTTTTGAGACCAAATCAGAGTCAGTCCGATGATCAATCTCTAGCGGAAATAATCTTTGAAGAGGTCTCATCAATTTTCCATTAGCAGTTCGCAGTCGTGCCAAACGAATATTTCCATCTTTTCCAAGAAAAACTTCTTCCACTATACCCAAAGGCCAATCAAGTCTTTTCAATCGCTCGTTTTCGATCAATACAATATCTCCTTTCTCCAATACATAATGCTTATTGTTTTTAACTGTATGTAGAACCAGTTGGCTCAAATATTCGCTGCGAAATCTTTCTCTTAGGTTTTGTCTAATTCTATGTAGATATTTAAAATGTCGCCTCATATAAATAGCATCAATATGATCAATATCGGGAGTTCCGATTTCCTTAATATCTTGCATAAACATATTTGGTGAAATGGTTATTAAATTGTTATCATACTCTGACATATATGTCAATGGTCGAGCATTTATTATAGCTTCACAGTCACATATTATCGAAGATAGCTCTTCAAAAGATAAACATGCTCTCCCAAGTTGCTTTCGTAATAATTCCTTCATAATTCGTATCAAACGCTCCCACCAACCACCCCACCATGCGGCACTAGGTGGATTGAATTTCCATTTGATTCTGGATATATTACCCTCCGCTTCAATTTTAGTCCAATCAATTTTCTGAAATAAATTCTCCGTTCCAACAAAGTTCGTTCCATTGTCACTATAAACAACTGAAGGTCTTCCTCTTCTGGCAATAAAACGTCTGAAAGCTAACAGAAATGTTTCTGTAGATAAAGAAGTTACCATCTCCAGATGGACGGCTCTATAAACCGCACAGGTAAAAAGGCATATCCAAATCTTTTCTTTAGACTTGAGAAAAAGTGGACCGGCCAGATCAACTCCTACGATTTCAAAAATTGCAGCATCCCTTATTCGATCACCTGGTAAAGCCACTATATCTGTTGACAACCTTTTGACATTATATCTCTGACATATTACACATTTCGAAACGATACTTTTAACAGCTTTCCTTCCTCGAATTATCCAAAATTTCTGACGGAGCTGACAGAGTAAACCTTGAATCCCAACGTGACATCCTTTTAGATGATAATGACTAATAATCCTTTCAGTTACAATATGATGTGGTGGTAACACTATAGGATATAAAAAATCAAAGGTATCTTCCCGTTCCGTTATTTTCGTTTTTATCCGTAGCAGTCCGTTTTCATCTTCGAAGGGACATAATGGGAAAAGTTTCTCGTCTTGTAAACCTGTGAAGGATTCTGTCTGGACAAATTTCAATAAAACTATTTCAGCATCAACAATCTCTTCCAGTGAGAGGTAACCATGCTTCTTTTTGTTGGGAAAACGAGAATTGTTAATGAATCTCCTAAGCCATCCCATTTGGTTCAAAATCTTTTGATACTTAGAAAAATAGTTATAAAATATTGAGAAGTCATTCTTCATTGTCAAAAATATTCGAGTGCAATCTTTTCTTCTTTCCTCTATCACTTCTTCCTCGCGAGTTTCATATTCTTGGACTGGCCAATCTTCTTTATTCTTAAGCCATGCTGGTCCTTCCCACCACTGAGAGAGTAATAATTTCTTCGGTGAACATCCTCTTGATGGAAGATCAGCAGGATTCATATGGCCCGGAACGTGAAACCAACTATATGTATTACTGAGTGATCTAATTTCCTGGACTCTATTCCAAACGAATGGTTTCCAATAATCCTCCCTCCATATCCACGACAAGACTGTTGTCGAATCTGTCCAGCAATATACAGGAAGTTTGGTATTTCCAATATTTTCCAGAACGGAATTCAATAGTCTACATCCTATCGTAGCTGCTAATAATTCCATTCGAGGAATGGTTACTTTCTTAATGGGAGAGATTCGATTCTTAGCTTGAATCAATTGAACATGACCTGTACTATTGATCTCAAAACGCAAAAAAACAACTGCAGCATAACTGTCTTTACTAGCATCACAAAACATATGGATACTGCATTCTGTGAAATTGTTATTCAACATCCATCTCGGAATTTTTAACTCAGCTAAATATTGCAAATCCCTCAGCCACTTCAGGAAATCTTCTTTGATACCCTCTGGAACCATAGCGTCCCATTTTAATTTCAACTCCCATGTCTTTTGGAGAAGTAATCTTGGGAGAATTTGACATGGACAACTGAAACCAATAGGGTCAAAAAGTCGATTGGTAACAGACAAAATTAATCTTTCCGTAATTATATTCGTATCGATATTTTTGAACCAATCAAAATTAATTTCTAACGTATCAGATCGTTTATTCCAGTTCAAACCTAAAACTGCTGTCAAAACACCTTTTGTTTCGGTTTCATCATCGAAAAGAGTGTGCTCCCATCC